GAGGTACGGAGAGCCGATCGAGATTCCGCTCACGGCAGAGCTTTTTCGCGAAGGGTCGCGGGGCGCCGGGCAACAGCCACCTAGGCAGTCCCGAGCAGGGCGGCGGGGCGTGGAGGAAGGACACGGCGCAGGAGGGGAGGGCGGGGGGAGGAGTGGGCGCAGTGCAGCACAGATTAGGATTGGGACGCATTGCCCGCGGAAGATACCGCGGGCCGCTCCTCTTCCTCGACCCACCCAGCCCCACCCCGCCCCCGAGACGCGAGCGCGGGAGGTATTCCAGCTCGAACCGGATAGGTACCAGAGCGGTGAGGACTCTGGCCCGGGGGCTCTGTCCGGGGGGGCCGCCGTGCCCGTGCCGAGCATGTGCCCGTGGCCGCGCCAGGCCAGAGGATTACGGCGGGCAATTAACCGGCTGGCGTGACGTCGCGCCGCCGAGGCGAGCAGGGAAGGCGCCAGCAGGGGCCAGTCCCGCGAGTGACTCAGGTGACGCGACAGGCCAGGTCAGGCGTGACCGCTACCGCCTGCCTGCACCACTGTGCGGCGGTGGCGATGCTGCAGGCGCGGCTGTACGCGCTGTACCGGCGGAGGCGGAGGGCCGCCGGGGGAGAGGGGGCCGCCAGGTCCGCGCCGCCACGCCGCGCCCAGCCGCACACCAGCCGCCACAGCATCCACCACAGCATGCCGCCTCATATGCGCCGGCCAAGCAGACTACAATTATTGGAAGAACACACGGGGCGGAGACGAGCCGGCCGCTCTACAGACTGTTTGTTGTCGAGTCGCCATGGCGACCGCTCAATCGATACACACCGACTGCTGCTGCTGGCCAGTGCCCCGCCCGCACCGCCGCCGGCCGTGGCCCCGCGGGGAGGCTCGCGCGAGCCGGGGCTGGGCCTGGGGGGAGGGGACGGGGCACGGGCTAGGCGACAAGACGGACAGCACCCGCAACTTTGTCTGTGCAGCACAGCCAGGACTCTAGTCCAGCCTTGCTGCTGGTCAGGGTGGCGGCGCGGGGGAGCGGGCGGAGGAGCCTGGAGGGGCTGTGCATCGACCCGCCCGCCCTGCACGCCCCCGCCGTCACGTGCCTCGCGATCCATTTCGCGCCAATTCGGATCCAATCCCGAATGCTCGGGCGGCTCGGGCGGGCCTTGGCCGTAACGCGCCTCGCCTCGCCGTTGTCGGCGCGGGGCTGCAGCACCCGCGCCACGCCCCGCCGCACCCCGCCCGCGTGGCGTGGCCGGGCGTGGTGGGGTCGAGTGGGGTGACGCTGCTGGAGCCGTGCACTCTTCCACCCCATGCTCCCCCTCTCTCCGGAGCTGGCCCGGCGCGCACCCACGCGTCTCCCCCCCCTCAGAGTCAAGCCGAGCCGCAGGAATGAAAAAGCAAAGTCGGCGAACTGTGCGGGCCGAGCCGCTCCAGCAGGCCTGCTGCGGGCTCACACGCCGGGCTGCACTGCCGTCTGGGACAACACAATGCGATTATTGCCCCTGACCGATAAACCTGCGAGCAGCCAAGGAGCCCATTGGAAATAACCCTCTCCGGCGCAGACCCCCCCTAAAAAAATGTGCCCCGCCCCGCCAGCGGAGGAAAACGCCTGGGTGGCTATTTTTCGACTCTACACCCGCGGCCTCTATAATCCAGATCTGACCTCGGATACCTAGTCACGCAAGGAGCATGTCCTTAGAGTGAGTGGGAGGGG